AACATTTTATTGTATTTCCTTTATCTAAACTATGCATGTAATTATCTTGACTAAAAACTTTTTTGTCAGGTACATTGGCTTCTAGTTTCCCATTTTAACCAAACTACTTCTATGGTATTAGGAAAATAGGAGGACTTTTGTATTGCAGAGTTAAGTGCCCTTACAAATGAGCTTGAAAACGCTAGTGATATTTGAGTTGATCACATTCCTGTTCTGCAGTTCTGAATGCACTGCTAACCAGGCAGTGGCAAGTGGGGAGGGGCACTCAGCCAGGAGTAGGTTGTAAGTAACTTTTTTAAACCATTTTCTTGTTTTTGAAATCCACACGATGCTTTCTGGTTCATGGAGAGCATACCAGAATACTATGACCCAACGTGTGTACATTTTGTAGATTGTATTCAGACTTCTGGTTCTCTGATAATTGCATTCTGGGATATTTTAGTAATTCATGAAGCACTGAGCGGGTTTCAGAAAAAAAGTACTTTTAAGGAATACTTTGTTTCTGCAGCAGCCTGGCTAATAGATGGCATTCAGCATTCAAATTGAATTAATTTGTTTTATGGTTGATTGATTTGTTTGGAACAGAGCCTCACAGCTGGACTAGTTGTTTGTTGGTTTTTGTTTGTTTTTTAAAAAAACCCTCTACCAGGGTGTTAAGGATGTACTGAATATTTAACAGTTTGAGATTGTAGAAGAAAAGACCCTTGAATCTATTAATCTATAAACAAAGCCACATTTGAAAAGTTAATACGTTAGGGCAGTACCCTAATGCAGTGATTCTCAGCTTTTGTGGACTCGAGGCATCCCTTGGAAAATGCCAGCTCTTGGTTTTTGAAACTGTGAATTCCTGTTTAAAATCTCTGGATTTATACTGTGAATCCTGTTTGCAAATCTAACAGTGCTAGCACCCTGCAGCACCCTTGAAAGGATCTCAAAGCACCCCAGTATACTAGCTCACTCTGGTTGAGAATCGCATCCCCAGTACAAAACATCCTCAAAGCTGGTGCCAGCAGAGACACTGAATCTCTGTGTATTTTTTTCTGAAACAAGCATTTTGCTGGGTAAATTGGGAGGTTTCAGTGAAGTCGCTGTGTTGTGTTTCTAGTTTTGTCTTCATGGTACTTCTGGGAGTACAAAGCTGCCAGCTGCCTGCCTGGTACAGTTAAGAATTTGCCAGTGATTCATACTTGAGGAGTTTCTGTTGTAGGCTTAGAAACAAAACTCTGATCGAAAATGGTTGCTAAAAGTAAAGCTTCATCTAGACTGTAAAGGCAGCTTTTGGCAGACATACAGCTATATTGCTTCGTTCCGGGTAGTCTTTGTAAAAATCTGAGTGACACAGAGGAAGATAGTGCAAGTTTAAACCTGCATCACTTCGTACAGTAGAATGAATGAGGCAGGGGAATAGGGTGAAGTGATGTAATATTCCTAGTTCTCAAAGGGTTTTTGTCATTTGTGATGCTTCAGTTTGTTGGGAATCAAGGCCCGTTGTGCTTACTGTGCAAGACAAAAGGCAACAGGAGATAACCGTTGACTACAAGGGAAAAAGACTAGTTTGTACGGTCATAGAGGAGCTTAAAGTATTACAGAAGCTTTGTGGAAATTAATAACTTAAGTTAATTTGGGTTCTGGTGAAAATGAATATAACCCTCAATTCAGACTGGTTGATGTGCTGCATTCTTAAAAAATCCGACTCTTGTCTCTCAACTTCTGTTTCTCTTCATATTTTACTACTGAAAACTCTTGGCTGTTATCATTCACTTCCTTAATGCCTTCTTACTGCTTCTGTTGCTTAGTTACTGAATTCCTACATTAGCTCACTCTGTTTTGGCTACCATCTTTGTATGCAATGCATTGTGTAAAAATAACCCCATGACTTCACTGTGCTAGAGGGATGTCATGATCCTGACAGATAAGGACTTAGGGATATTTTTCCCTTATGTGAACACATTATTTCATTGAATTTAGAAGTAAGAAAGACCCGTTGGATCATCCAGCACATCTTCCTACCCAAGCAATCTTATTCTCTGCAGTTAACTTATCTCATGCTTTGTCTACTTGACATTCAAGAAACACCAACTCAAACAACTCTCTTAAAAATAGAGTTAAAAATAGTCTTAGTGCTGCCCTTGTCCTTGAGTTCCTCTGTAAATCTGGTTTATTCCTCCTTTCTGTTTTTCAAAAATCTGTCAGGCAGCCATGGGGAAAAGACCCATTCAAACAGGGAAATTTGACTATGCAGGGAAAACTGTGTAAGTGAATATATACATTAGAGCAATCTGTTGCTTCTTCTAGGTATCTCTATAGTCATCTTCAATTTTACTGGTAAAAATAGATGAGTGTGAAGTATAATGCTTAGGTTGTTGACATCCCTTCAAATTACCATGATTTTTCAAAAGTTTTTTTTTAAAGTAATGTTTTGGGGTGCTTGTAGTATACAATCTGGTGGGTTATCATCAGTCTTGGCACTTTAAACTAGTCCACTGGGTGAAAGGCAAGCAGAAATTGTTAAAAGTTAGGTTTAAAACTCTTATCCTTTGCCAGTTGCTTATTTCCATACCAGTAGAGGGGGTACACACATCTCTGGCTGTTAACTTGGACCACTCCAGTGCAGATCTGTATTATTTTTACTAACAAACAAGGCATTTATTTGTAACTCACCTATCCCATGAAATTACCTCCTTTATGTAAATAAGGGATTTTATTTAATTTAGCATTTATGGCATCACAGAAAGGTTCCTTGATTTTGTTCTTGTCTCTTCTAGAAGTACCTAATCAAAAAAACTTTCTTTGATGCAGTTTTCCTTATATACTGCTCTGTAGGCTTTTGAAGCAATTAGAATGGTGAGTAATAGTTGGAAAAAGAGTGGAGCAACCAAATCAGTCTTCTGCCTGCCTTTAAAAGGAGGAATCTTTAATGTTCGTGTCCTTGGCTGACACAGCTCGCTAGAATGTCAGAAGAGTTTGCTATCTGCGACATGATCTTTGCCTGCCTTGATTTAAAAAAAAATGCTTTGCAGACTTAAATAGAAATCTCTTCAGATAAGACTTTAGCTGAATTTACTGAAAGAAGCATTCTTCGTATTGCTATTAGGTAAATCTTCTAGAAGCTACTGAATGGAAAATAAGACTTCTTCAATGATGGCATAAGATTCCCATCTTGCCCATCTTTTGCCTCCTGCCATACAAGAAACTCCTGTAGCTCTTGAAACTTCTGGTCCCTTATGTAGTCTGGGCTGACGGCTTCTCCTTTCTAGACATGCTTCAAGTTCAGATACGTGAGAGATTCACCTAGAATCAGTTCCTGAATTGATCATAAAGGGACCAGTCGTCACAACAGTGCCTATGGATTGCCACCAGGCTTTTTGGTTGAAAGCTGATCTTTAAGGGTTTTCTCTGCTTGAATTTTCAAGGTAATTAAACTATCTATAGAAGCCTCCTTTTTTGCTGGATGCAAGCTTGTCTAAATTGATATGGTAATGTTTACAGGACAATAGCTTTGATATATACGTGTTTACTAATGAACTGAATCACCTTCTTATTTTTAAATATATGTAGTAAGGTTGGAAGACTTGAAATTATTTAGTTTAGAGAAGACTGAGGGAGACTTTGATAATGATCTTCAGTTACAAAATGGATTGCTATAACAAGGGTGACTTTAATTGCACTGTGTCCATAGATGTTGGGTGAAGTAGTAATGGGCTTAAATTTGATTAAAGGAGAGTTAGGTTAGATATTAAGAAGAACTTCCAACTCTGAGGGTGGTTAATCTGTTTCAGTGCTTATTTAGAGAGCTTGAAAACCTGTTGGAAGCTTTATTGCTAGTGAGATGCACATTTTTTGTGGTGCTGTTCAGTAAGGGGTGGACCTGCCTTGAGCAAGAGGGTGGGCTGGTGACTCGTTGAGGCTTCTTCCAGACCTGTTTTTCTACGATTGTCAATGCTTTTCAACAGGGGTCGTTGCTTTCTTTACATGAGAACTCTGAAGACGTTTCTATAGCACTTCTATTATTTTGAGCAACACTATAACCTGATTCTGTAGGGCAGAGAATGACTTTCTTTTCAATTTCGATATCAACTTATGGCAATGTACAGCAGCGTTAAATGTGCCCACTATTGCCCTTTGTATTTTTAAGTTTAAATTGTACTCATCTTCCAGGCTTAGTGTCTAACTGTGGCTAGAAGTAGAAAATGAGACTGAAATGCTTCTAAGAGAGTCATGCAAAGGATTTTGTTTTCTCTTAGACCTTCGTGGTGCTTAGCCAGTGTTCCCCATTTCTGAACACTTTGGGAGGTTTGTGTACAACACTGGGGAGATGAAAGTACTTCAGCACTTAGAGCTGGATACTCAGACCACTATTGACGAAAGCTGCATGTTTGAGTTTTAGTTCTGCTGTAGCTAAAGTACTTTTGATGGCACATTGCTGGTGGGGAAGTAGAGACAGGGTGGAAAACTTCACATACCAGCAGGTTTTTGGGAACTATTTGGTATTTGAGTACAGGAGCCAGGATACCTGTCTTCTGTTCCCATCTTGTTCAGTTCAGTGCAGGGACTGGGCTTAGATAAATTTTGTATCCCATTGTCTCAGTCTGTAAAATGGGCACAATGCAGTGAACTAGCTTATGGAGCAGATCATGAGACTCTAATGTGCCTGAGACCTTTTAAATGAAAAACCTTATGCAAATATTGCAAAAAAATAAATACATGTGTTCGTGCATAAGTTATTCAGCTTTTGGCTTGACAGGAGCCTTCACGATTTCTTGATTTCTGACTCAGGATTGTATACTGGGCTGAAAGGAGAAGAACTTCCAAAAGCAACTTTTGGCGGTCTTTGCAGTAAAGAGAAACAGGGATTTGATGGGTTCCTTCTGAGCGTACTGTACAACAAGGACGTTCCCTTGAGATGGTTCTGGGGGGCAGAAATGGGGATTTTTTTGGAAGCTGAATGTAGTTTAACGTAAGGTTTTTTTTGTTTTGTTTTGTTTTGTTTTTTCCTCCCATGTTAGGTTTGTGTTGGCTGTAGGCAGTGCAGTCTTCGATGCAATGTTTAATGGTGGAATGGCCACGACTTCTACAGAGATTGAGCTGCCTGATGTGGAGCCTGCAGCCTTCCTAGCTTTACTAAAGTAAGCCTCTTTTAATGTACAGTTTCACTTTTATAACTGGATAGAGATTATCGTGGACAAAAATATTTCCAATATAATTGAACCTTTTCAGGGTGGATTGATTTAAATTACTGAGAGCAGTTCTGAACACCTCTTTAATCAACCTTTCCATTTGTACTTCAATTAATTTTATCTAAAGAAAGCTGCAATCTTGTTGGTTGATGTAACCATCAAAACACTTAGATTTATAGTTAGGTAGAACTTTAATGTTAGATTAATTATAGCATATACTCCTATAGCATACATTTCCATATGTTAGTACATGTTTCTAGCCTGTGAACCTAAATCATAAGTAAAAAGTTACCTAGTAAATAAGCAGTTGCTACTAGATATATATATTTTTTTTTTTGCTTGTGCTTTGGGTTAAACTGCTGCCTTGGAAAGGTAACTAATGTAATCCTGATGGGACGCATGATTGTGTCTGTTGGAGTCTGGCAATCACAATGCTTCTGATTTACCTGGCATCTAGTGCCCAGTTTTATAGCCCCTTTGATCCCGTAGGATTAATCCCTTAATACAGTACATTACATGTTGTGCCTTGTTTATAAAACTTGACCTCAAAAACTTAAATGTTTTTTTTCTTCCCCACCCTCACACCCAACATGCAGTCTGCAATACAGTTTTAGCTAAAGTCTCTTGGGTTTAGCATACTTTTTATTTAAATGTTTTGAGAAATCAAAATAAGTTAAGACCCCATAATGAAACCAAGCTAAACTAGCATACCCTCCCTATGCCAGTGTAGGCAGAGTGATGTAGTAATAATAATTCCTGAATCATGCTGGAGTAAGCACCATTGTACCAGTATAACTCAACAGTAAGACCTTTATTATTTTTTTATTATCAGTATAATGTCACACCTTTACTTGCAAAGGTTAAATTGTACTAAGCTGTGTTTAGTCTAGTTCTGTTTCAAGAGCAGCTTTGAGGTGGATTCTGGTGCTCTTAGAAAGGAGCGGGAAAAACAAGTAGGATGTTTAGTGGCTTAAGTCGCAGACACTTGAGGTTCAGTTATGGATTGGATGAAAATCTGTTTGCCAAATGAAAGGGCTAACCTGTTTGGAGGGACAGTTTATGAGCTGGTAGATATTGGTGTAGTGCATTTGACATAAAATGTTCCAGTTACACAAGCCGAAGCCGTGTTCCAAGCCTCTGAACCTGAGCATTTAGGCGGTGGGAGAAGTTTCTCCCCAGATCAGTTGGGACTGTTTGGGTCCATTTGCAGGTAAAACTCGGTTCTTTAGACATTCTGGGCTTTAGCAAAATGCCCTACTGAATGATTCTCTTCACAAACCCTAAAATACGCAACAGCAATCTTAAATATGAGGTGAACTGCCAGGTCTTGCAATCTGACTCCTGAAGCTATGACCCAATTGTAATGCCTCCCAAGACTTCGTTGTTGATGTACTTCCAGGTGCTTAGTTGTCAGGAACAGTATGTATAGCTTTGAAATGCATCATTTTTTGCTTTTTTCCCCCAGAAAAAGTGCTTCTACCATTAACTGAGACAATTTAGGAACCAGAGGTTTAAAGGTTAAAAATTATTTCCTAGAATGGAGAGGGCTGGAAGTTTTCGGGAAGCTGTTTTAACTGACTCATCTTATATTAGATACAATAAATTAGGGCATTTGCTGATCTTGTCTAAAAGAGTGAGATTTTTAGTGTGGCTGCCAAGAGGACAAAATGGTCTTTGCTTAGAGGACAAAAAAATCATAAAAATATTCACCCTTTTGGTTAATATCAGTTAGGTGACTAAAAGAAAATTAGGCTTTAACAGTGTGGCTTAGCTTAAGGGTGTCGAACTCAAATAAGCTGGTGGGCTGTATCTGGACTGCAGTGCTTCTTGATGTGGCTGCTAGAGCCACTCTGTGTTGGTGTGGCCAACACACCCAGGAGCTAATGCCATCTGTCATAGAATCATAAAAAATTAGGGTTGGCAGGGACCTCAGGAGGTCATCTAGCCCAACCCCTTGCTCAAAGCAGGGCCAGCCCTAACTAGGTGATTCCAGCCAAGGCTTTGTGTAGTTGGGTCTTAAAAATCTCCAAGGATGGAGATTCTACCACCTCTCTGGGTAACCTGTTCCGGTGCTTTACTACCCTACTAGTGAGAGAGTGTTTCCTAATGTCTAACCTAAATTTCCCTTGCTGCAACTTGAGACAGTTGCTCCTTGTTCTGTCATCTGCCACCAGTGAGAACAGTCCAGCTCCATCCTCTGGAGCCACCCTTTGCTTCACTGCTCCTTATTTGTTTGTGAACAGTGGTTGAAAACGAGGAATTGGGTCGTAGGTAATACTGAGATGTGGCATTGACCCCCTGGGTGTGGGCCTTGCCAGCACAGCAGCCCTGGGAGCTGGGGCAGGCAAGCTCATGAGCTGGATCTAGAGGTGGATTCTTCAGTCAGAAAGAAGCTCTGTGGGTGGGATGACCCATCATATCTTTCACACGTCTAGCTTAGATAATTTCTAGCACTTGCAGAAATGCTAAGATATAACAAATTCATACTTTATTTGGGTGCTGCAGCAGCATTCTGTTATACCTCTTACTAGAGGTGCACTGATATAGTGGTCCATATCGTATCAGCACTAATAAAAGGAAATTGGCTTTTTTTTGGCCAGTGTGGCCAATAACGTCACAGATAAATGCCGCGTGAATGTATGCAGCTGCAGCATACATGCAGCCAGAAACGCACCCCAGCAGCTTGGAGAGCAGCATCTGGCTGGTAAGTCTGTTGTGGGGAAGGGGTGTAGGAGAGAGAAGGGTTGTGGGGGGCACAGATTGGGGCCCCAATGGTGAGAGACAGAGTGGGGCTGGGGCAGGTCAGGGTGTGGGACAGAGCAGGGGGGGAGGGGAACAGGGGGGTGACTCATGCACCCCCAGGGGAGGCATGGGAGTGTGTGCCCTCCTAAATTTGTGTGTGGGGCAAGGGCGTGCTGCCTGCAGGCTGAGGCCAGGGCCTGTGCTGGCCACTTCCCAGTGGGGGAGGGCAGAGCTGCGCTTGGGGTGAGGTGGGTGGATGGCAGTGGCACTGGGAAGGGAAACTACGGGGGGTGATGTGGTAAATTTTGGGGTGGCTATAGCCCACTCTGTAGCCGTCGCTGCCCCCCGCCTTCCAGCACTGCTGCTGCCCACCCCAAGCACAGCCCCAGCCCAGCCCCACTGGGAAGAGGCCATTGTGGCCCCAGCCCACAGTGGGCAGCTCACCCTGCACACAAATCCAGGGGGAACATGCCTCCCCCGGGGGTGTGTGCAGCAGTAGGAGCTGCCCGTGGCTCTGTCCTGTGCTCTGCCCTGACTGAACAGTGCCTGCCCCTGCCTGTGCTCCAGCCCTGCTCCCTCCCTCACTGCAGGGGCCTGATCTGCTCTCCCCACACCCCTTCCCCCCAATAGACTTACCTGCCAGACACTGCTCTCCAGCCGGCCGGGCTGCATATCAGCAATCTGATCGGTATTGGCTGATATGGCTGGTTAATAATCGGCCATCGATATCGGCCAAAAAAATCTTTATCGGTGCATCCCTACCTCTTGCGCATTAGACAAGGTTCCTGCCCTTCCTCTGAAAGTGCTGTCATCTGGGATTATCAGTGTTGTCATTGCTGTTGTCCTCATCAGGTGTTGTACTTGATGTACTGTCAGTGTTGGAAGTCTTAGGAACTGCAGTACTGGCGAAGTTGCAGCCTGGAGATCCCAACAGTAAACTCGTCTTAAAGAATGACCACAGGCTTGGTTCGGTGGCAGAGATTTGGCCAGGTTTGTCTACAAGCACAGCCCTAACACCTTTTGACCTAACAAGTACATCAGACCAGGAGCTAAGGCATTTGTACCTATGACAAAGTAGTCAGCACAATACCACACAGGCTCCCCCAGGCTGCTATAAATTTCCTGCAATTTCCAATTCTTCTTTTATACAATGCGCAAAACAAAGGATGTATTTATTGCATTCCTTTGGTATCTTGAATGTCTCAAACAGTCCTGCACCAGGGACTTGTTTCACATTCTGACCTAGGTATTCCCATTCCAGCTTTATCATCTTGGTACTGGACTAGCCTACCTTGTACTATCATTTCTCTCTCCTGTGTCTTGGCAGGAGGTGCATCTGTCCCACGTGCCTGTTTGTTTATGTGAGGAGTTCATGCATCAGTCAGGTTTGCTAGTGAGGCCTACTCTGGTCAGTGCTTTAACAAAGCCTTTGTGAGAGCAGCATGTATTGATCAGTGCTCCAGCGAGGCTTATTCCCTTCTCTTGTCTTTTGTCTACCTGTCGTCCTGGAAAAGCATAATTACAGGTAACCCAGTGGGCTAGACACTGTTTTTAGGTTACCTTGTTCTACCCTTGTATACATTCATGCCCCTCTTGTCTACACACTGGTCTACACATTTCCTCGTATGACCTGTAGACAGTGTTTTCTAATTGTTTGTCCCATAGATTGGGCCTGGGAATGTTAGGTCAGGACTTAAGTCAAGAGGAGTGGCCTGCTTGGAGCACTTCATCCATGCAATGATAATAAGCCATATATGATGATGACGGATGATTGAATATATATGTATAGTTTCATAGTTTCTAGGGTCGGAAGGGACCTGAGCAGATCATCTAGTCCGACCCCCTGCCATGGCAGGAAAGAGTGCTGGGGTCAAACGACCCCAGCAAGGTGTTCATCTAACCTCTTCTTAAAAACCCCCAGGGTAGGAAACTGCACCACCTCCCTTGGAAGTTGGTTCCAGACCCTAGCCGCCCTGACCGTGAAATAGCGCCTTCTGATGTCTAACCTAAATCTACCCTCTGCTAGCTTGTGACCGTTCCTGTGTTCCTGGTCACTCCTGGCTGTGCTCGGGGGAACAGTGACTCCCCCAGTGCCTTCTGATCCCCCCCGACCAGTTTGTAGCAGGCCACAAGATCCCCCCTCAGCCTTCTCTTGTGGAGGCTGAACAGGTTCAGGTCCCGTAGTCTCTCCTCATAGGGCCTGCCCTGCAGTCCCCTGATCATGCGAGTGGCCCTCTGGACCCTCCCCATGCTGTCCACATCCCTCTTGAAGTGCGGCGCCCAGAACTGGATGCAGTACTCCAACTGCGGCCTGACCAGTGCCGCATAAAGGGGGAGGATCACCTCGCTGGACCTGCTCGATATGCATCTGTGGATATGCATAACATGCGGAGAGACCCAAAGTCAGACACCTAAGAAACCCAAAGTTCTTAGGTGTTTCCTCAGTTATATCTTCACACATCTCGGGTGGCATTCCAGTTGCTGCCAGTTCCTGTATTGGTTTCCCTTGGTTTATATTCTTCCAGATAAACTCCATATTCAGGCTCTGGTAATAGAGCAGATCCACTTAAACACTTCACTGGAACTGGATACAATACTAATTTAAGTCTCGTCTTGAATTTTCACTGAAGTCCCACAGTTTTGGTTGAGCAGTTAAATGTGGGCTGCGTAACACCCACTTGTGCAAACAGAAGTTTTGCTGGTTTTGGCATAGCTGATTCCTTCAGAGGAAGGGAAGAAACTTCATCTAAGGTAGATAAATTAACTGAGTAACAACTGATGAAAAAATGCCATGTTATACTTCAGAATAGCATAAAGCATAATGCAATAAAATTGGTTAATGATTAAATAGTAGTAGTAGTAGTAGTAGGTAAAGTAAATATCATTAGTTACTTTATAACTAATAGCCTTATAGCTAAAGTCAATCTCTTTTCAGTCTGGTTTCCTATTTTTACCATTCTGGCGTTGGTGATGTAGATAACAGCACATTCCAGTTAGCACAGTCGCAGTTGCACCTTGTATTATTGCTAGTACCAGACTTTGTGTTTGGACTATTAAGTGTAAGTTGTTGTCTTCCAGGATAGCCCACCCAGGTGTCTTTACTTTTTCCCTGCATCTTTTCTATATCCTGGATTTGTTGTTGTGTGAGGTCAGTTATGAGAATTAAAGCTGTCTTTGTGCGGTTTACTAGACCTTGTATGTCTAGGTATAGTTCTGTGACGGGGGAAAGTAAGTCAGTCATCAAATCTCTTACACGGTATTGTCAGAAGGAATGATAAACTCAGTTAAAGTGCTTAGAAAGCAAGAAAGCGTGAGTCCTTATTTGAATTGTACTTGTGTTCAGGGAGAATCCTTCCCAGTTTCCCCGATGCAGTCATTCTTAATTATGGCTCAGAACATGGTATGGTGAATGATGTCTGGAAAGAATCTTTCATTTACATCCAGGATTTCAGTTTTTGCCAGTAAGGTTCAGTTGCTGGCCACTACCAGAAGATGGATTCCAAAGCTGGTGGATCAGGAGTTTGATTTTTGATGGTGTCTTTTGTATCTGTAGCCCTTCTCCCTTACAGACTTGCATGGGGCTCTTGGTTGTCTAGGCTTATGTAGCGTCAGCCTTCCTCTAGGAATTGCCAATATCCTGCTAAAAAGCCAAGAAAAAGATCCATTTATATAAAATAGGAGCCGTACATTTTCTTATAGGCCTGTTAGCAATTCCTGCTTTAGCTCCATTGTGTCATGCTCTTCCTGGGTTTAGACCCCAAACCAGACTTGGATGCTGCATGAAACAGCACAGCATTTGTGGCACATAGTATTAATTTACTTTCGAAAGCTAGCTTGCAATAAAAAGGTATGGTAACCTAGTAAAAATAAACCTTTGCAGTAAGGAAAAGGGCTGAAATATATTCACAGAGCTGTGGCTACATAGCATCACTAAAAGCCTGCTTGGAGTTCATTACTCCTTTTCCTAGAAGTTCCCTCACTTGTTTCTTCCCCTGAAATGCATTCTGGTCCTTCCTGGGAATTAAAGGATCAGGAACTCGGTAGCCCCTCAGCGGTAAGTTCCTCAAGATGGTGAGCATGTCTGTTTGCACAATGGCCATAGAGACATCCTGATACCGAATGGGCTGCTTGCAGCTGTGCCGATAATACAGATGTCCTCTTCCCAGGTGTTGTGTGCCTGTCCTGGACCAGCCAAGGCTCTGGGCCCCCAGGCATCACAGGTCCTGGATGCAGCATACAGGGGGATTGGGGAGGGGAGGGAGGTCTGTGGGCCTGCTTCAACTTGTGGACTGGCCCTTCACCTCTCGTTTGGCCTGCGTGGCCATATGAGATTGACACCTGTGATTTAATACATGTGCAAGTATTTATTTTGTACTGAATATATTCCAGCTTTTCAGAATAAATTAGTAAATCCTGGATGAAAGCAACTAAAGCTTTGAGCAAAAATGGACTGATTTGTAAGTCTTAATTGGCCTCCTAGGCCCTATCCTGTGCAATTCACATACAAGCAGGTCTTCCTGAATTCAGGAGAACTACTCCTATTTCAGGGTCTTTAGGTTGAAGACCTCCATGTCCTGTGGTGTGACCTGCACCAGGTTAGAGCGTTGCCTCACTTAAGCAACCTGTTTCAGGTGGTGATAATCATATCTCTAGTCAGCATATTTGTGTGGGGAATGGGGGAAGAGTCAAAGTCAAGCCCGGGTCCTTATGAAGGCTTTTTATTTCCAGTTCTTATAAAATTTCCTAACTCCCCTCCTGGGAGTTTATGGGAAGTTAGTTGGGGGACTGAGAGGGTGGCTGCTCTCCAGGGATGTCTGAAGTGCAGTGCCCTCAGCTTTTGCTATACTGAAGAGTGAAACCAAGGCTGAGATTTAATTTGGCTTCACTTACCCTGAAGCCAGCCGCTTTATATTTATTGACCGATTGATTACTTTGATGGTTACTATATTAAAAACTGTTTTGATGCTCACTATTATTCAACTGGAACATGAGCTGTTTCAGTGGAGAACTATTTCAGTAAAGGTATAGATGTGAAAGTATGTGGAAAAATGCTGATGAAGGGATCTCCCCATCATCCCTGCTAGGTGTTTCTGATCCTTCATGATGCTGGATACGTAGTAGCACCTTAATTCTTGACTCATCAGACATGAAAGATGAAGTCAGAGGTGGGAAGGGTAACAGTGGATGCTAAGAATAAATTGGGCCATCATGACAGGGAAATAACCTTTAATGGTTCTTGTGAATTGCAGGGATTTTTGTCTTTTTTTTTTTCCTGCTATCTTACTGGTTAAAGCAGGTTTATGAGACAGCCTTTTGTTTGTATGCTTCCAGGTTTCTGTATTCTGATGAAGTTCAGATTGGACCAGAGACTGTGATGACAACACTTTACACAGCTAAAAAATATGCTGTTCCTGCCCTTGAAGCCCATTGTGTGGAATTCCTAAAGAAAAACCTTCGAGCAGACAATGCATTCATGCTTTTAACGCAGGTATGTTCCAGACCTATTTCTGTTCCAAGTCGCTTAGAACAAATCCAGCAGTTCCATTAGTATCAATATTGCTTATGCTTTGGAAATGCACCGTAGAAGGGTTACTTTTTCGAAAGGAGTAGAGCTGTCTGTGCCCTGGAACGTGGGGGTTTTTGTGCTCTTGATTCTAGAAATTTTATTATCTGATAGGGTTTCCCTCACTGATTTAATGATGGTCTACACTGTTCTTCATTAAAGCTTGAATTACAAATACTTGCAACTCTTCTTGCCTGTTGCACAAAACTATAGTACTTGGGGTTCCTTGATGGGGTCAGGACAGTGGGAAAATGTGAAATTGTTCGGTGGTGAGGAAGGCTTTACTGAGCTTCCTGTGCTCGAAAAGGTTCGTGCCCAGCAAAAGTAAAATGAACGCACTTGTTGACATTCAGGATGTCTCACAATAAGCACTCGCTGCATTAGAGACAGGCTGTCTGCTGGACTGCCCCTTTTTTGCAAGGTTTCCCCTAGAGTAGGATTTCCCCTGCACATACTGTATTGAAAAAGTGAGCCTTCTCTTACCCTCTAATGCTGCAGGCTGCCCTCTTTCCTTGGAAGGGAAGAGATGACAGATGTGAGGTGGAAGAGGTAAGGTCCCTGTTTCCAGTAACTGGAGAGAATCTTTTCCTCAGGCTCTACAGCCAAGATACCAGGGTAGGTGGTGTACAGGGATGTGGAATTTCTTGAGAGTGGTTCCCCTGGTCCTGTCTTTCTCTGTGAGGTTATTTATAAGAGTTGTCCATGCAGCTGCCATTCTTTCTAACTGCTATAGGCAGCCTGTGGGAGTACAACATTGGGAGTCCTCCATTGGGAGCCTATGGGCGTCCTCTATTGCTTCTGCTTGAGTTGGGAAAACTTAGCCTTTCTGAAGCTTGTTAGTACTGTAAGTGGCATTGCCTTTCCTTCCCTGTTTTCATTCCTATTAGGACTTCTGCTCTCATTTCAGGCCTTTCCTGGGGTAGTGCCAGCCTGTGTAGTCATGACCGAGGGCAGATCCGCAAGTTCTAGGCTATAGCCATTCTGTCGTGGCATGCTGCCTGTTACAGTGCCTACCAGTCCCAGGCATGGACTGGGGCTGCATTGTAGTGGCATGCTGCACAAATGAAGGAAGAAAACTAACAAATATGTTCTCCCTGTTCTGCTTCAGGGTAGGGAATGTTGTTCAACTCCCTTGTTAACAATATGTGAACACAGTGGGGGAAAGGTGCCTTGAACTATTGCAGTGGTACTTGCCTTCTAGAGAAATGAGCCCAGTTTCCATTCCCAGTTCAGACTGAGTTGCCTTGGGGCATCCTGTCCTGTGCAGTTCATGGCTGTTCCTTCCTACGTGGTTGTCTGGATGGGTGCTTTGATTCGGAGATCGGCAGTATCTGGCTTTGTCATTTTACTTCCCAAAGCCCCTCAGTGCCTTTTTGAGACGCTTACTTGGGGGTATATTGGTGAGGGGCTAATTTAAAGACCCCTTGCTTCAAACAGTACTCTCAGTTCTCCAGGACTGTGAAGATCAAGCTCCAACTAATTGTATCACAAGTGTAGCAGTTTGGAGGGTTACCTGCACAGCTGCCATCTGCGAAATTTGTCTCCCACAAAACCAGTGTCAAACCAGGCTCTGATTCCAGAGCTCCACTCAACTCCTCAGATAGCTGAGGTTCTGTGCCTGGCTGTACGATCCTTTCACCGCTGGCCCTCCTGACCCATTGAAATCAGTGCAGGAGCTGACCGAGATGAAATACTGCCAGTATCCTGCCTCTGAACCTCTTGCAGAAATACCAGTGATGGGCAACTACCTTCATTGTCTATGCCGTCCTAGTTCACGGTGCTATGCTGAAGTGATGTGTGTTGGCAAGTGTCACTGATCAAAGAAGAAATGCAGAGGAACTACACCCCGAGGATCTAGAAGTCTGGCAGGAAGTGACTTAGTGGGCATCAAAGCTGAAGATTCAAAGCCATATAGCAGTGATTGCCAGCCAGGGTGCAGCAGCATCCTGGCACGCCTTGAGATCCTTTACAAGGATGCCACGGAGTACTGCACGGTGTTAGCACGGTTAGGTGTGCAAACAGGAGTCTCAAGAAAAGCCCAGAGATTTCAAATAAGAATTCAGTGTTAAAACCATTCTGACCTGACACAGACTTTCTGAGTTATTCAACAGAATAACTCTATTTTTTTATTTTCTATTTTTTTTCATTTTTACTCCAGAAAAAGTGAGAGAGACTGAAAACTAAGACCTGGTGTTTTCCAAGGGGTGCCTTGAATCTAACAAGGTTGAGAGAGCCACAACTCCTGGGAGCCAGGAGACTTATCACCAACAGGGCTGAAGCAGGAAAATGCCAGTCCAGGAAGGGAGGCTCAAAACAGCTGTTTACTAGATCAGAGCCTCTTGGGTTTTAGTGATAGTTCCTGGAGGTCCCAGCCAAAGTTGTGGCCCCATTGTTTTGGACATTATATATGTAGGTAGCTAGATAGTTGCTGCTCTGAAAAGCTTATAGTGTCAGTGAAAAAGAGGGAGGGGGAGAGGTGTCAGCATGCTCAGGGACAGGCTATGCATGGTCCCATCTCTCTGGATGGCTTTGGGGAAACTAGTGTAAGCCACAGGGAGATAATATCCTCCAACGCTAGACTTAGTAACCCAGGTGGAGTTTGGATCCTTGTGCCACGTTGAGCATCTTTCTGAACTCTGCAGGAGTTACACAACTCTTCATGAACCTCAGTCTGTGTAGCTGCACCTGGGCAAAATGTGCAAGCACTTTGCACTGGAGGAAGGCAGGACTTGCAACAAGATGGCTTGCTTTGGCCTATTGCTAGATTGAGCTGCATTAGTGCAAGTCTTATTTTGCATTGCAGAGGCCTACCTACTTCTTGAGGTTTGCACTGATGCCATGGCATCGATGTAGTTAAATGCTGCAAATGTCCTTACTGCAGAGCAAGGTGTCAGTCAGCTGCATTAGGCTTCCTCCGGTAACATAAAAATAATTGGTATGGCTTACCCACAGCCAGCTGACATGCTGAGTGTCTGTGGTTGTGGTCAACATGGTGCTTTTTCTCACCTGATGTTACCTTCCAGTAAAGATGAGCACGAAGATGTATACAGTTAAACGGAATTGATGCAACTGTTAGGCTTGCAAGTGTTAGCATAGTTGCATTCACTCAACTCCTGTGAAATGTTGTCTGCCTGCATCGCTAGTTCCCATGGCTTGCAAACTAGTGGTGTAATAAATCCACTGAGTAAAATCAAGATTGGGCAAAAAGATGCAAAGTGTAAACAGTTTTTTTTTTTTCTTTGTGTTAATGATGCATACTTACTTGTTAGGCAAGACTCTTTGATGAGCCCCAGCTGGCCAGCCTCTGCCTAGAGAACATAGATAAGAACACATCGGATGCCATCAATGCTGAGGGGTTCACAGACATCGATTTAGGTAAGATTTGTTTTTTTTCTTTTTCTCTGCAGTCGCTCGTTACATGCTTGACTTTTAGTTCATTATTATGTAGGTTTGTATTTACTTGGTGATTTCTCCCTGTGGCTTTGCACTCACTACCTGGAAGCAATCTCTGGAGTGTTTGAACCAACAATCCCTGGATCAGCTCTTGGAGGCAGGTTGCTCTCAATAGAACTCTTGAAACTAGACTCTGGAACTTGCTTCCCTCATTGTACTGACAATTTTGTTCTCCAAGGCATGATAAAAGGCCTATCCCTTCTGTTGCTGTTGGTAGGTTGAGGGCGGGTGTAACTTACCTTCTGTGGGAAGGGTTGGCATTTGTCCCAGGTTTCCATTAGATGCTTGAATTAAAAGGTTTTGCATTTTGAAGCAAGAGTCAGATATTAAACATTGCATGCATGTCCATGGACATCAGGGACCACTCCATAAACCTAGATCAGTACTTGAAAGGTCCTTTTTTAATGGAATCCCTTCTTAAAACTGGAATTGGAGCACGGATAATACAGTGCAGCCCTTTTGGCTTTTCCACTGTTTATCTTGTTCAAACTTGTAAATAGAAATTCCTTCTGCTGCACCTAGTAAGTGTAACCAATATGTGGGCCCCGCTTGCTATTGCGATGGCATACCTCCTCGTGGAATGTGCCAGCCTAATGTCAGCCATGCACACAATACTTGGGAGCAGCCTCACAGTTCTTTTGCTCCCCTCGGGGTCATTTGTGGAAAGTTTGGACCGTTTAAAATCAGGACATTCGGGTTAGTGCCTAAAGTCGTTGCTGTCCTGCCTTACAGACACCCTGGTTGCGGTGCTGGAGAGGGACACCTTGGGGATTCGGGAGGTT